CATATTTTCATTATTGTAGGTGATCTCAGGAAGGGAGTTGAAGATTGGTGGCTGGGGAACTGCTGAGTTTTAGTCTGAAATCTCTGGGTGCTCTCTCTACAGTACACATCAGAACAGTGATAGAGAAGTAAGGAGGGGAGTGACTAACTTGTTGCACAATAATTTAAGCAACTGAAATGTAAGAATATAACTTAAGCTATCTAAGAGTGTCTTCCATGCAGTGTAGGACGTAACAATGCAAGGAATGAATTGCTGTAGGGTTAAAGGTGGTCTCAAATGTATGTATGCACTGTGTGTAAACGTTCTGCCTAGATTGTTGGTTAGAGTAGTGGGATTCACATGGTTGACTGAGCCCTTCAAGAAGGGTCGCTGTTGAGCAGTAAGTGGCCAGAGATGATGTATGTTTAGTGTTGATTTCAAATGCTCAGCAACTGTCTCCAGTTAAATTAAATGGGTGACATGAGACAAGTTGAAACCAATTTACATATATTTATTTACAGGAAAGGCAAGCTTGCCCAATTACTCTTACTGTCATGTTGATCTATATACAAAAACTTGAATGCTTTTAGACAGATGTTTCTTGTATTGTAAATTATATTGTAAATCACTTCCTTGCAAAACATAGCCTTATGGTTTTGTCTACCATAGGGGGGAAAAAACATGGAAAACTGCTAGCTAAACAAAAGATAAAGCATTAATGGCTATAGTTTGTTTTTTGATTTTCATATTTCTCTACAACTGGAGTGGAAAACCAGCTCAATGTGCCATAACATGTAATTTTATATGGATGTAAATATAGGCTACATTATCATGAATTACAAGACTTGTGTATATGTCATGAATTGGCTGAAAACCAATGTTTTTGAAGGAGGGTTTGGTTAATGTTGGTAATGCTTAGCTCTGTGATCTGGCTGTGTAAGTACTGGCAGAAATGAGTGAGTGGGTGTGGGAGGTTATGAAAAATCTCCTGTAGGGTGGTGGCATCCTGCACTTGTTCCTTTGAAACTGACCTTTAAATTACACCTGAGATCTAGCTACTGACTGAAAGGAGCAGCCTTCCTGCTTATGTTGCACTAGGTGTGTGGTTTGTCTGGCTCCAGAAGGCCAGTTCAACTTATTAAACTGGAAGAAAATTATTTTTATCTCTTTTCCTGCATGGCTTTTCTACTAACTTAGCAACAAATCTAAGGAGACTACAGGAAATTCTAGGTTATTTCATGAACCTCAGGGTTGAGGGAAGAAGGGTGATTGTGCAAGAGAGTGAAAAGGGAGCTGGCCTCTTTGTGAGCTATTCAATGACTTGGCCATTTCACTGAACTGCAAACCAAGTGGTCCAAGTAATCTTACCAAAGCAGTGATTGCCCCTTGGTATCTGTATCTGAGAGCTTTCAATTAGCTTTAAATGAGGTAGTGCAGGTAAACAGACACAACCACAGTACCTTATAGTTGTGTGTGAGTTAATAACCTGCAAAGCAGAGTAGATCAAGTTTTGGGAATGGTGAGCAAATTAACCTGCTTAGAAATCTGTGCCTCAGCTAGACTTCATCTGCTATGAGAAATTAGCTTGTTTAATGGTGAGCTGGGCAGATATACTGCAGCTGTCAGGGTTATTTGTACCCCTGAGAATGGCACTGTGGAATGCTTACTGCTGTCAGGTTGCTTGAGTGGTTGGAGTGTATTGGGGAAAACAAATTGCATTATTCCGTTGTGGTATGTGCTAAGCCATTTCTAAAGTATACGTGGCTGCAACTCCCATTAGCGAGAGCTGTGCTGGTAATGCTAGGTAGGAATGTGACTGAGTTCTTTCCACTCCATAGTGTCTATGTGAGTTAAATGTTGTGGGTTAAGTTTCTGAAGTGCAAGTTTTCCGTGAAGTACAGTGAAAATGAGTGGGAACTGGCTCTTTTTTTGGGCAGATCCTAGTTCGACACTATTTTAAAATAAGTGACAATTCCATGGATAAGACGACCCACCCTTTGAAGTCTAAAGTGAGAAAACCAAGCTGCTTCTTTGAAGAAGATGCAAGTCAGCAGTTATTCCTTTGCTTTTATTTCTCTTTTGTGAGCCAAACTCCTTGAAGGAGTACAATTCTGGCTAATTTCTGAACACTACAACAGGAAGGTGTTTGAGTTTTATTTGTTGTTTTGAGATGTAGCTCTGGCTTTCTGTGGAGGAAGAAGCTAGCTATTGTCAAGAGGCTGAAGTTATTCCTGGTAAAGAATTACTAGGTGTAAGGGTGAAGTATATGTTGCATACATTCGGTGTTTGGTTTTAAAATTCACAGAGGTTTTTCTGATCTTGTTTCACTTCTTTCCGATATTCCTTTAGGGCTGGGATGACACTGCTGAGTTGCTGAGTTTTCTTCTGGTTTTCAGCGTTTGAAGTGTTGAGCTCCAGTTTCTGTTTTCCTTCTGAGAATGTGTTTGGATGAACTGTCTCATAGTGAGACAACTCATAACACTAACAACTAATAGTGCTTAACTTTTATTCTTCCCCCCACCCCGCCTTCTGTGACTTCAGTTGCATTCAGTTATAGGATGGCTTCAAATCCGATCTTGTTGCAAACAAGCAAGGAACGTACTTTGTGCTGATGTAACTTAACTGGTAATGCCTATTTTAGTGGTACAGGTAGTATATTGGGTGTTAACCGTATTGTCGTTGCTAGTCCATATTATACATCTCTTTCTCTGCTGCCCCAACTGCAAGAGCTCTCTTCTCAGCTGCCTACTGGTTTGTAATTGGCAGAGGTATTTGCATTAAAAAGTTAAAAAACCAAAGTAACTTTTAGGTATGTGGGGAGTCTTCCTGTTTTGGAGTCCAGGATAATTAGGGGTGGAGTGTGGGGTGGCACACTATGGCCCTGTGTATGTGTGACTTCTAGTTTCAGGATCCAGCCTGATAGGCTTGGTTTCAGCATGGAGTCTTGTGAGAGAGCCTGTGTGAAACTGTTTCTCCGTGTTTTGAATAAAGCTTTCTCCAGCAGTGATCAAACAACAAAGGCCTGATGTGGGCACTCATACTTCCCAACAGGTGATGGAGAGATTTTTCCTACAGATGTACCATAGCAAGACACCTTTCCTTCTCTCTTTTTCCTCCTCTGCTGTACAGCTTCCTTGCGTGCTGAAGTTCCTACAGGCCTGAGTGGGAGGGGAGGGACAGGACAGAGGTCTCCAGTGGACAACAGAGCTGGAAGTAGGAGCCCACATGGCCAAAACCTAAATTCTGTGCTTTTGTCTGAGCTGTGGACCCAACTGCTCTGAACTGTTGAGTCTAAGAAGTGGCACATAAACTGCAGTGGAGGGATTGGATAGTGTTGCACAGCAGAAATAAAAAAAAAAAATTGAGTATAGAAGAGTGTGTGTGTTGCAGGCTCTTGTAGCCTACCGCTTTGGCAAGCATGGTGTTACGCAAGGGCAGTGGGATTAGCTAGTGCGAAGTCTGTTATGTAAAGCCTGCCATCTTGTGGCTGTGGTGCTAAAACATCCAAACATTAATTTTGTTTCTACAGATGGTTTTTTGCAAGCCTTTGTGAACACACCTCTTTTGAGCACGATGTTAATTGCATGTGCTTGCATGTAATCTTGGAAAAGCATCTTTTAAATTTGAGAGTCTCTCCTTTTAAAATGGTGTGTTGATTTTACATTAGTCTCATTTTGCTGAGAAGCTTTGCTATTGTTTCTTATAAGCAGGGAAGTGATTGAAAAAGTAGTGAATGTATCAATGCTTTAACACTTTTGAATCTTCTTGTTAGGAATCTTTATCCAGTTTTCAGTCTTCTCAGTTTAGTGTTGTGAATTCTGTTTTTTTTCACTTCTGCAAAAAGAAGTGTGAAAACTGAAGAAGAATGTGCTAGCTGTTGTGTTACTGAGCCTGAATCTCTCTGTTCCTGTAAAAAGTTCATAGTTTTGACTGTAAATATCTAGAACTTCTGTATGCTACTGCCCCTAATAGAGAAATGTGGGTATCCCAGAGAGCAAAAGAATCAACTTCAAGGTGGAAGAACTTCTGTTACATGTTTAAACACAGATGCTTGTGCCATCTAAAGGTCAGCAGTCATTTTGATTCCTGAGTATGGTTTTTCTTTCCCCTATTTTTGATAGTGGCCTGTTGCAGCATTATTTGTGAATAATTAATTTAGGCTGAAGAGTGTGGGTTTGTGTTATGTGACATTATTTCTCTCATTTGACTTTGTTTGCATATGCTGTTTTAGGGAATACACCCTAGAAACTGACTGCCTGTGTAGACACAAAAACTGATTTGAGTGGTAATTTGAAAAGCCTGTGTGTTTGCTTTCTTAAAGACACCTGTATGTCTGCACCAGTGCAGTTTCAGTGATGGCACAGAATATTGTATAGATAGGATTTGGGTATCTTTCCTCAGATCTGTGGAACTTTGCCATTAGGTATGATTCAAAGGGTGCTGCAAAGCAGTTTGCCATGCTGCAGCTTCTGCTTATGGAGGACTGGCTTATGGATAGTGAACATCCATTTTCATTGAGAAATTGGTCTGTTAATTGGAAATGGGCTATTTGCAGTCCAGACAGTGGATCTGCACAAGTTCCTGCGTGGACAAAAGGCAATGAAAATAATTTACTTGTTTCCACCCTATGAAAAGAGCCTTCTGACGGGAGAACTTACTTATTCCTATTAAGATTCTGGTGAAGGTAGGACATTTTTAGAGTGGCTAGCTAAGAAGAAAACAAGAGGTGCCTTTAATAAACACACAGTTTCCCCTTTCTGTGTATGTCTTTCAGACTTGTTTGACACTCTGTTTCCCCTATATTTAGATTTCTACACCCCAAGAAAAATATTAATATATTGCTGTATCAGATGAGAAAGCAGAACTAAGGAGTTGATTTAAATTAAATTAAGCCAAGACCAAATATTATTGTTGGGTGTCTCTCAAATTTAAGATTCAGATTGTACCTTGTTTTATTAGTCAGCAATCTACTTTGGGGATATTTCTCAACTTTCTTACCACTTTCTCTGATTTATTCCAGCTATGCAAAAAAGGAATCTGATCTTAATGGAGCCCAAGTCAAACTTAGAGAGTTCGAAGCAGCCCTCGGTTCTAAAGAAGCTGCACTGGCCACAGCCCTTGGTGATAAGAAAAGTCTGGAGGGAGAAGTTGAGGATTTAAAAGATCAGATTGTACAGGTGAGAAGAAATATTTAATGATCAAGCTTCTGTCAGCATATTAGGTTTTTTATATATAATACATGAACAGAAAGAGCTGTCATTCTGGTAAAATGCAACTTTGTAGCCAAAAAATGGCTGCAAACCTGTCATCCAGTCACAACCAGAACAAACTGTGGTTCACTGTCAACATTGGAAGTAATATTGAGTAGGTGTTTGTGTTCAGTACTGTTCAGTTTATTAATAAACATGAATGGTGGAAGAGTGCTTTTAAAATTGCAGACTCTGAAATTGCAAGGGACGGTACTTATGTTGAAGAAAGCAAGCAGGTCAAGAGTCAAAATAAACGTGACATATTGTAAAACTGTTTTGGGGGAGAGCTTAGACTTCACCAATACAGATAATGAATAACTTAGAAGTAGCAGTTTGTGATTCTCTTTGCCCTCCTTTTGGTTCTGCATGTGGTTCTCAATCTTCTCCGTATCTGATAGAACAAAGAGGGGAAAGAAAAGTCTTGTGCTAGTTTTGTTAACCCTTTGAAACACGTGATTTGTGATCTTAAGCAACACCACCTCAAAAGGATGAGTTGAGGAGACCAGGAAACTGGTATTTGCCATGTAGAAAAACTGAAACTTTGTAAGGAAAATTGATAAGTAGCATTTTATGTGAAATATCTAGAATTTACTTGTGCAAGCAATTGCAAAAGGTGGGGGAAAGACATTGGTGGTGTAAGTATTGGATTTGATTATGGAGTTCAACCATAACATGTAGTTAGCTGTACTTCTAAGTAGCTGAGATCATTGTGTTATGTGAGTTCTGCTACATAATCATTGTTGTGTTGATTCTTTTATTTCTTTTGCTTAAAGCTTGAAGTTTCTTTAGCTGCTGCCAAGGAACAGCTTGCAAATGAAACCTTACTGAAGGTGGATCTTGAAAACCGTTGTCAGAGTCTCATTGAGGACTTGGAATTCCGTAAAAATATGTATGAGGAGGTAAATGCTTTAGTCTCAGGAATTTGTATTTTTAAAGGGAAGAAGACAACTGGGGGGGTCATTCTAGAATACTAAAATAATTTAGGTTGGGAGGGACCTCAGGAAGTCATGTGGTCTGAACTCCCACTCAGAGCAGGGTTTACCTCTATTCTAGCTGGAAGATTTCCAACCTTTTTTTATAGGAAAAATGATGTTAACTTAGAGCTGTTGTGATAATAGTTTCATGTATTGTGTTTCATGTTAAATTCTGCCCATGGTATTGCAATGTACATGTCTTTTTCATAGTAATGAGAAAGTAGGTTAATAATTTCTCACGTAATCCCTTTGTGAGAAATAAAGTGGAGAGGGACACTCAAACAGGTGCTATGGACTTGTACTGGTTTTTAATTTCAGAACTTTCTAATAGGATGCTTTTGAATAATATTTGTCTTTTAGAGCTTTTTCTTGCCATGCTCCCTTTCACTTGTAGTACTTGAGGCTTTCCAAGAGGAATCTTAGAGCAGTAACAAATGTGCCTAACCATACTGTCTTTTTGTTCCATGTGCACATTTCCTTGCTAGTTGTATTTTCAGCTTTGTTCATGTTGTTGGAATCCTTTTTTCCAGAGACCACTGGCAAGCATATAAATAAACCAGAAAACGCTGGTTAGTGAAAGTGACTGTTTAATTTCACAGTACTTTCATTTTGTGCAAGCACAGAAGATAGCTAAAGAAAGGGGGAGATGCATTTCTGAAATCTAATCACATTGAGGTGTATTTGTTGAAAATGCAGACAGCTCTCAGAAGGAAATACGACTTTGCATGCTGACAGTATGCTAGCTTTTATTTCAATGACTGGCTTTTGCAAAATGAGGTACTATGCAGATCAGACTGTGGAAATGGCCATGTGTTTCTATTGAAAGTTTCAGTGTCAAACAAACTAATGCTGGTTGTGAAGGCTAGCTAAAATCCGTATTGCTCTCCACACAGCAGATAGTCTTCTAAAACTTGGTTTGTGTCATATTTACTGAATGTTATCTTATTTTTCTCTTTTTCTTAGGAGATCAATGAAACAAGAAGGAAACATGAAACTCGCTTAGTTGAGGTTGATTCTGGGCGTCAAATTGAATATGAACGTAAACTGACCCAAGCCCTTATGGAAATAAGACAGCAGCATGATGCACAAGTGAAGCTGTACAAAGATGAACTTGAACAGACTTACTGTACAAAAGTGAGAACATCCTTTCATACAGTTGTCTGATGTACTTTATTTTTGTTTTATTTAATGGGAAGATACCCTAATTACTTGCATTTTGGAGGATTTTATTGTGGAGCTTGGTTTAAAATGAGCATGCTTTTGAATGTGAATTTGCATTTTGAGGTCTCACTTTGGGAGCAGGTTTAATCCTCAGGAAGTACAATAATACAAGAGTAAGAAGCACCATGTGAAGGTGAACTGTGGGGGAAAAAGTGATTAGTACTGGGATTACTAGAATTCAAGAAAAGTTCATGTGTTACTACGTATTAGCTGTAACATAGTCTTGATGATCAATAAGGTGTCCCATGTTTTGTATAAAAATTATTTCATAATAGGGCTTGCTGAGAAGACAGCATCCTGAGTCCTCTGACCCTGTACAAAACATGTGGAGGTCTTACCACACCCGACGATTTCTGCTTTTCACTCTTCTAGAGAGGAAGCATGCTCAAGCTGAAATCAGTTATACTTCATAATTTCCTTCCTCTACTATGATTCAGCATTTCTGTCAGGAGGGATCCTGGTGTCTCAGTTGAACCTGGTTTTTGTGGTTATACTTGCTGCAGTTAGTATTTTTAAAAACAAGGTGGGATGTTACAGCAGAGAAGTTGATACAAACTGAATTTATTAGCATAGTTTTCAGTCTTTACAGTCTTAACAGTGTGCAGTTGCTTGTTTTCAGTGCTTCAGCCTGACTTGGAAAAACTTATTTAAAACAAGATCTGGCCAAAAATAATGTTTTTTATATTTTTTAGTCTGAAAATCGTTTAATAATTGAGGCTTTCTTGTTCCCTCTCTTCAGGTATATTATTTCTGTATTTTTGGACTCTCTTATTTGAAATTTTTTTTAGGTTACATTTTATCTGCAACTACAAGTTCAGTGATAAGTCTGTGGTGTGGCTCAAGTGGATGTGGTAGTATTCAGCAGGGAAGATGCAGGCAATTTAAAAAAATTATTTGAGCTTTAAGTTGTGGTAGAATGAAGCAGTAGTGACTCATGCCACTAGTACTGTAATCTGAAGGCACATTACCAATTTGCTTATGTTGGCTGAAAATCAACAGAGTTAATTAAACAGTTAATTAAACAGTTAAGAGTTTGCCTGTTTTTTGAGAATTGCTAATTTCAGTTTAGCTGCTGCTTCTGTTTAAGCATACTCAAAAACAGTACTACAGTAATTAAATACATAAAACGAAACATTGGCCAGCATGGAAACTATGAAAACTGAGCTTAGCAGTCCAACTTGAGTAATGCCTACAAGGAAAACTTTAAAATTTTTAATCCTAGAATAAATATTTGGAAAACTGTGATTTCAGGTAGAGCAATCCAGCATGGTAAGTGAGCCACCATATTTAACCCTGAAAGAAAGAGATGGTTTGTTGCGTTAGAGCTGCAGAGAGGAACTTTGCGGCTTAGTGTTGTGTGTGGTTTTTAGTGACTCATTTTTCTTTTAATAAAAGTTACTTTGAAACTGATGTCTTAACTGATGTCTTCACTTGATCTACTGCAGCTTGAGAATGCTAGACTGTCCTCTGAAATGAGTAATTCTGCAGCCAACTTGGTAAGAGAAGAACTGAATGAAAGCCGCGTACGAATTGATAATCTGTCTTCCCATCTCGCCAGCATTCAGAAAGAGGTAACAAGCTGTTCATGACCCATCAGTCTTGCTGATTACAGTTGTTGATTTTTATGTTAAAGGACTTTCTTTCCCTTAACTTGTATGTTCAGCATTGTGACTTGAATTTGTCTTCTGTTTTACTGTTCTGTACTTTTTAAAATTTCTTAATGTCTCCTTTCGACAAAGCTGAATTTTTTGTGCAGTATCCTGCTACAGAGTGAGTATTTGAAAGGCAGTACTGTTAACTGGCTTTTGTGGAAACTTTTGCAGATAGATGGGGCAATTTTAGACAAGAGCTCTGTATTAAAAGTTCTTGACATTCTAAGCAATTTAGTTTTGTTCTGTAGTAATTGCACAGCCTAGCATAGGATTCCACAAAGCAACATTCAGAGCCAGAACTGGAATATGCAGTTTCTGTCTGTCTCTTTTCATCCTAGATCCAGTTTGCATCTAGAACTTGCTCTTAAAAAAAAAAAAGTGATCTTAGCAGTATTAGGAGGAAATATGAGACTGAGAGAATACATCAAATAACTGTACTTGAGCATTTGTAGAGTAGGGTCTTGAGTAGAAACTAATTATACTTAGATCACGGAGCACATAGGTCACACCCAAAGAAGTATGACACAACCTATGGCAAACTGTATGTTCAGTACTAGCTTATTTGATGGGAGTAATGTCATGTGCACTGCAGTAGAAAATCTAGAGTGAAAATGAGAAATATTAGGAGTTGGTTCTGAAGTAGGCTTTTGTAGCTTACTAATCGGTTGAAAATGCAACAAAACTTTTTTTGAAAAATATAAAATATTAGTAATATTTGTCTTTGATCCTTTCTGTGATACACTTTTAATTGTATTCCTTCTGTACAGTAGATTATAACTTGGCAGATGAGTCTTCCCAGTTTTCCTGTTATACAGGCAAGTTAGTCTCTGGAAAAGATCAGGTGATGTAATGAATGTACATGAGGTCACACAAGAATGGAATTGAGAGTTTTGTCTATTTAGATCTTATTTCTGCCTTTAGATTACCATCATCTTATGGTGGTTCAGTCAACAGATTTTTCCGAGTGTTTTTTTTTTTTCTTCAGTTAATTACCTGTGTTCTGTTGCTTACTTGGGAGTGACAGCTAGGTTCAGAGAATTTGCTTCTGAATTCTGAATTTGCAGAAGTGTTGGATGTTAACTTCAGGGCTACCAAAATCAACTTCTGCCAGTTTGTTTGTAACAGTCCACCAAAAACCCCATTATGCTACTGTATGTGTATTTTTTGGTGTTTTTGGTAGTGCTAGCAATGTCAACCAGTAGAGTTCTGTTTTCAATTTGCTAGCACTAACTTTAGCTTTGTTCTCTTGGAAGAAGACAACGCTCTTATCACTGATGCTTGTCTGGTTTGAGTTACCAACACTGAGCTCTGTAGTAGTTTCCACTGGGATCTTCCATGTGACACTCAACTGCTTTTATTAAATTCCTTATCTGACTCTTAACATTGTCAACCAGTTACACTGGTCCTCTGCATCAGGCTTTTAGACTACCTGTTTTCATTGTCTCTGGGCTATGATGACTTCCTAAGTAGACTGCCTGCATAGTAAACTTGGTGACTTAACCAGATAGGGTGATTGTGGGGCATTGGTTCCTGTGTCTGTCCCTTAATTAAAAGACTCTCAAGAGACTATCAAACAGAAGAAAGCATGCTCAGGGAAAGTACGCCTTAAAGCTGTCATCATTTGGCCTTTCTTTGATAAGCATTCTGTTCTGCATGTACAATATTAAGTTCTACTGACTTTATGTGATTTTTAAAGTATGTCACAAAGTAGCTTTCTTCATGGAACACTTAGCACTTTACCCTCAGCAAGCCTTGAGGGCTTTGATAATAGGCAGACAGGCTTTCACTGACAACCACCCCTATTCCTTTGAAGAACTTCCTCCCAGAGCTCAGAATTTGCAGCAGTAAACTGAAGCAGGAAGTAGACATCTGAAAAGCTAAAGAGCAATTACTTACCACAGGATCTGAAATACACTGAGCACTCTGATTCTGTATCCTGTCCAGCACGTCTTAAACAGTTTGACTATTAAGCTTGATTTTTCTTGACTGAGTAAATTCAGGTGTAGTAACATATCTTCAGATCTCAGAAAAATGGAGTGAGTAGTTGTCTTTCAAAGCATGTGTTTCATTGGAACTTAAGGTGTTATGTTTGTAGTAGGTGAGGTAGAGACAGGAAGTTGAATATGGGTGAGTTTGAATTCAGAAAAGTGGGAGGATGCTTAACCTGATGTTTTGAATTCCATGTCACCTGAATAGCAGTATGCATGGAGGTTTGGATGAGCTTTCCTTTGTACCACTGATGTTTTCAATGCTTTCTAGTCTAGAGCATGGCAAGATAGAGTGAAAGAGCTTGAAGAGAGCTTGGCCAAGGAACGGGAAAACTGTCGCAAAATGCTGTCTGAGAAAGAGAAGGAAGTGGCAGAGATAAGAGATCAGATGCAGGAGCAGCTGAGTGACTACGAACAACTTCTGGATGTTAAACTGGCACTTGATATGGAAATCAATGCATACCGGAAATTGCTGGAGGGTGAAGAGGAGAGGTATGAAAGAATGTTGCAACAAATGCTGCTATCTGTGTGCTTCCCTTACCTGTCTTATGCTCTGTTAAGTCAGTTCTTACGGGGAATGCATTTTTCATGTGCTTTACTACAGTTTCCAAGGCACTGTTTGTTTTTGCCGCCTCCTGTTTGACTTCTAAGTCTCCATGAGACCAAGCTGCTTGAGTATCAGACCAAGAGCTGTCAAGGGAACAGATGCCATTCTTCTATTAAGATTCAGCACTGAGGATGTAATGAATTGTCATTTGTAGGTCTGTTTGGTGCCATGGTTAATATTCTTTTTCAGAGTTAATTACAGGGTTATTTAGTTGTTAGCCAAATTCCTTTAAGTGTAGAAGAATTTTAATAAAGTAGTATGTTAGGATTGCCCAGTTTATCAGCTAGCTGCATCTTTCATGTCTGACCCCAAAGTTCAGCAACATTGAGAATTTTTGCCTGATAAGTCACAGCTGTCACTTAAAGTAGTTCGATATTTCACTGTTTCCTGAATGACATCCTATTGGTCCACGCTGATTCCTCTCAAGTGTGGGGATGAAACAGCAAAAGCTCTTGTGCCATTGGGTTTTTGCATAGATTTCCTACAATGGTTTAAGCCCCCCTAAGAGTTTTTTCTTTACTTGTTCCATCTACCCAGGAATGCAGTCTAACACATGCATAGAGATGCCTTTATGATCTTAGTGTAGTAATCCATCAGTATTCTATGCTCCAAAAGCATTAATCAGCTGTTTGACAATATTTTATTCAGTTCTTCAAAAAGTACCTAAAGCTTCACTTTTTCATGTAACATGCTTTGTTTACTACATTGGTCTACCTTTTTGCTATATAATTCTATGGGAAGAAGAGGAGAAAAGAAGAAAGTTTCTTTTTTTAAAAAAAAAAAAAAGGTGGAAAAAATGAAATGTGATGTATGCATATTTCATCCTTTCTTCAATACAGGTTGAAACTTTCTCCAAGCCCATCTTCCCGAGTGACAGTTTCACGGGCTTCCTCGAGCCGTAGTGTGCGTACAACCAGAGGGAAGAGGAAGAGGATTGATGTGGAGGAATCTGAAGCCAGCAGCAGTGTTAGCATTTCCCACTCGGCTTCTGCCACTGGCAGTGTCTCTATTGAGGAGATAGATGTTGATGGAAAATTCATCCGCTTAAAGAACACCTCTGACCAGGTTTGAAAATGCACACATACCACAATTTTACAATGGGCTGATTAGAGGTAGAACGTTTCCTTAGCACCCTTTCAGCCCTCCAGCTTCATGTTGACCCTGCAGCTAAAGCATGCTGTATCAGAGATGGCACTAAAACTAGTGTGTTGCAAAACAAGCTTTCATACAGTGTTCTGGATTGATGATGACTTCTTCCTAATGATTTTTAATGCTTTTCATAGCAATCATTTTATTGCTGGGTTGCCCACCCACCAAAGTGTTGTATCACTCTTCAGAGTTCTGCCTTGCAAGTGATCTGCCTGTAAAGCTTTAGAGATAACATTGTCACTGATAGGAAATAGTGCAAGCAGACATTAGGCTACTTCAGAAGCCTTTTAAGAACTTTGTCTGCATTAAAAAGCCCAAAAGAAACACATGCTGATGCAAAATAAATGTCTAAATGTAATTAATTTCCTGTGTCCCTTGTACATGCATATAGCTTTCTCTAAATCATAGTTTTCCTTCTTCCTTGGCCACATCCACAGTTTTTATGAGCCCGCAGTTCCCATGCCAAAGGCATCTTTATTACGGCTACTCAGATTATTCTATGAATAGGGTGGAGTTTGTATTGGGGGGAACACACATTCTTATTTATCAAAGGGCACTTCATTTGAGTAATAATCAAGACTTTTCCATGTGTTGCCCTCGGAATGATGCTGTTATATTCAGTACATTTCCCCCGTGCCCCCCCCCGATATTACTTATTTCTGCTTAAGAAAAAAAGTCCTATGCTGTGTACAGTTCTGTGAGTCATTGCAGGAGGGTTTGGAGGGACTATAATTTCTTAAATCCTTTGTCTGGGAGAAGAGAGAATTCAGCATTGACTCATTACGACACCAGAATTACAAGACCTAATTTCTTGCAGCCTTGATTTCGGAGAAGGTCTAAGTAATTCCTGCCTTCTCCTGTGCTTTCTGTGCCTCAGCTGTGTGTAGAAGTGTTAGCTGCATTCTTTGTTTTCAGTGGCACATAGGCTTTGTCTAATGTCATCAGATCCTTTACCTTCACTAAAAGGCAGCTCATCTAGATGTTTTATGACAAAGATTATTCTGGTTCCAGGTGTCTCAGTCCCCTCTAATCAGCAAAGAGGCAGACAGACTCCTGCAGATAGTGGTACATATGTATCTTAATTACCTGCCTGGGGTGTTGGCTGAGAGTGCTGGCTTCACTTACTGAATGGAAGAAACCTTGACAACTGTCTTGGTCTAGACAGCCAAGCGTTTAGATGACTAAATGCAGACAAATCAAAGACTACTAGTGAGTCAGGATGTGCCATTTATTTTCCTTTTTGAGTTTTTCAAGCTTACGGGATTCCTCCCTCCCCATGCACTTTGTGTACCACATGGGTTTTCCCCCCTTATTTAACTTAATTACACCTTCATTGTTCCATGGAAGGACCATCAGTTCTGTTACCAGTAGTCATGGATGTAGTGCAGAGTAATACACTGTACTTGAGAAATTTTCACAAGTGTTTGACAGTTTATATATATAAAAAAAGAGAAAATATATAAAGTCTTCTAAGTATGGTATGTTTTGTTGCAATGACCAGCTGAATGTCAGCATCCATTAAGATTAAATAAGATTGTCTATTTTAGATATCTTAACTGTCTGTTTTCAGAGTCCAGTGGCAACTGTTTAATTTGGAAACTGTCTGTTGGTGGCAGAATGTAAAAAATACCTACTCTTGCTTTGAAATAGTCATTCTGTAATGATGACTTCTGTGTTTTTCTATTAAATTTGCTTGTGCTTTTCAAGTAGTTGGTAGGCAAAAAATAATTGAAAAAATGTAGGTCTTGCAATGGAGTATGTAGTGGGAGGTGTGCATATGTAGAAACACATTTTAAGACTGACAGGAATATTTTGTTTTCTACGAAGCCTGTTTGTCCTTCTGTGCTTCAAAAAAATGTACTATATATTTGTAAGGGGATTTTAGTATTTACATATTTTTCTGGACCAAGTTAGAACAAAACTCAGGTAAATTATAAACATCAGTTAATACAACATCAGAACTGAAAAGTAGGATGTATTAAGGTTTAACTTGAAATAAGAGGCAAGAAAAATTTAACTGAAATTATTCTAATTGCATGCTGAAGATCAAGTGATAATAAATGTTTTTACAGAAATTTTATGTCCCTCATGGCCTTACATGTAAAATATCCTATGCGTGTAACAGAAAATGACTGCTGATTGAAAATTTTTTTTCTCCTTTTTATTAGGATCAACCTATGGGAGGTTGGGAGATGATCCGAAAAATAGGAGACACTTCTGCTAGTTACAGATATACCTCAAGATACATACTAAAGGCAGGCCAAACTGTTACAGTAAGTTGTCAAGCTTCAGATGTTCAGATGAAATGGGCTTTAGGCCAACTTCTGCATGTCAATAATACACAAGGTTTTTAGTTTTGTCCTTTCTATGTACATGTTCAGAATATAATCACCTACATTTGTCTTGGGCATTAGTTGTATCAATTGCTGGGAAGAAGTCGGGCAGAGCCACATTTTGTGAAACTTACTTTCTATATGGAGCAGTAATTTTGACCATAAAGAGGTGTATTTACATATTCAAAAGTCTCTGCGTGAAAAAACATTGGGGTGTTTTATTGTAAGAAACTTTGGAAGTAGGTAGGCAGAGATTTGTATTTTCTTAACTGGAGGAGATTCACCAGTGTCACGTAAATGGAATACATTAACTCAATAAATAACGTGGAAATGTATAAGGCTAGCAAATAACGCTCATGTGTCACTTCTTCTAACAGATCTGGGCTGCAAATGCTGGAGTAGCTGCTAGCCCTCCCACTGACCTCATCTGGAAGAATCAGAATTCTTGGGGCACTGGTAAAGATGTGAAAGTTGTACTGAAAAACTCTCAGGGAGAGGTAAAGTACCTCAGATGTGTTTAAACTTGTCTTTCTGCGGTGCCATCCCCTATAAAGATGTAGGTAGAACCATTGCTCATGTGCATTCATGTGTCAAGTTTTCTCCTTTTGCTTTCCAACCAAGCATACTGTACCCCTGTCTGTCTTAACCACAATTTTGGAATGCAATCTATTTGAAGCGTGTAAATTTTTTTCCCTATATTGAGTATAAGTAGTAGAAGAATTACTTGTTTGCACATTGCCCTCATGCCAGGAATTGGGCAGTGCCTTAGAATATGCTTTGAAAAGAAAAGGTTTTAGTAAACTCTTCAGTAATTTGTCTCTAATCAGTTTTCCTTAAAACTGTGTTTTTATGGGGGGTGGGGAATGTGATAGTGAAACTCCCTTTAAGCAATGAGGCATCAATTCTGCTAAGGTGGGAGTTAGAACTTTGGGTAGGACAGTAGCTATGACGTCTTGCAATTAAAATATTTAAATATATAAAAAGCAAATTTTGGAAGGACTTGAGTGTCTTGTTAGAAAGACTTTTTATGATTAAGAGACTTAAAACTACGGTGTTATGAATGGTGTTTATGCACAGCAGTACGTGAAAAGTATATAGACAAAAGCTGTACAAGTAGCTTTCCTAACAGCTGGAACTCTGATTTCTCAAAATCTAAGTAGATTAGCACCAGATCTTTAGAGGAGTCAAGTCTTAAAAATAAAACTCTGTTGCAGGAGGTTGCTCAGAGAAGCACTGTGTTTAAAACAACTATATGTGAAGGGGAAGAGGAGGAAGGTGAAGAAGCAGCAGCTGAAGCTGTGGAGGAAGAAGACCTTTACTGCCAGCAGGTATCTTACCTTGTTTTAGATTAACAAGGTTATTTAGGTTGGAAAAAATGGATATATGAGTCATGAATTCCTGGAAAAATATCACACCTGTTTGGGTGTGGGTGTTTGTTTATTTTTGTTGTGTTTAATCAGTAACTTAATGACAGTGTGAAGCTGTGTTACTAAAACCAGTACAAAAAAAATACTACTTCACGTATTCCCTTGATGGAGAGAAGTAGATTTTTCTTAAAACAAGGTTTTAAAGCTTAAAAGATTTGGGGATTTTTGTTTTCTTAAACTCTGTTCCTGATAAGATTTCCCCCAGGCCAATTGTTTATGGTAAAGTTTGGCTTAAGCAGGTACACCTAAATTTACCTGAAGTTTTGAGAACTTAAATCTCTCACTTTCTCTGGTAGAGGGAATGAGAGATTTGAAGACATTATCAGAGAAAATGTCTCTTGCATACTGAAGAAATGCAACTCTGAAGGCAGTGGAAAGGTGTGAACTTGCAGTGACAATATAAAATGTTTTGAAATATAAGGGAAAATAGAGATATAACATACTTGATAGTTCACATTCTGAGTTTTATCCATTACCTTACTGTTTTGACCAGTTCTTCAAAAAAAAACCTTTGCCTAAAATTTTGCTACATTTCAGTAAGTATGTATCTTAATGTCAATTAGAAAACATAATACTGAACAGTAATTAAATGTGCATGTGTAAACAGACAACAAGTGGAGAGAGCTGGCTGTGTTGGACATTGTATTTTTTGGCAGCCATGGTTTTTTGCCTATAACTGAATCCTAACTTTGTGGCATTTAATATAGAATCGGGTTTTTATTGCAGTTATGCAAAAGTACCGAAGTGCATCCAGTTGCCTTTGTGGTTTCTGTCTTAGTAGCTTTACTTACAAAAATGTTACAGAGAGATTAGATTTCTTTAGATAAAAACTCTCAAGATACTTGTATATGCTCCCTGCAGTATTCACCACCTGTTTAAAGTCCATGATGCTTTTTGACTTGAGATTCAAATACGATAATTATTTAAGTTGTATTTTCCTGGTGTCTGTCCTCCATGACCTCTCAAGGAATGCTAGATGTCCTTTCTTTACTTACAGGGGATAAGATGTTGTACAGCTTTGCATGCTGACTCTTGCTTAGACCATGCCAGGCTAATAATTTCATATATTAAAAATGTACAGTATATTACTTTGAGTTGCTAAATCTTTACTGCTGAATTTCTTTTTTCAAAGATTACTCTTTCTATTCATAACAGGGAGGCCCAAGGACATCTACCAGAAACTGTGTGATCATGTAAACTTCCAGTCAGCCAGGTTCCTCAAATCATGGTAATCCTTGCCTACAGAACAGAGCCTTCTTGGAAGCACAACGTATTTTTGTATTTTCTGTATGTGAATTTTTAACCTGTGAGTCTGATGGCCTTAACTTCCTTTGTCACTGAAAAGGAAGTTTTGTAAAAGAAGTATCTGTAACTTTCTCACAGGATGTGAATTGTTGACTCTGAACAATGTACTGTTTGAAAAATGATGTCCCTGTCCCTCAGATTTATATGCCAGTCTTTTTTTTTTTTTTTTATATTGAAACTTTGCTGGAATAGAAATATTCCACTGTTTTGGGGATCGATTTTCTTAGATTATGTCACTCTAGACTAGCCAGTTGCTGTTTACCTCTTTATATTTAGGTGCTGTTGGGGAAGGGGAATGCATTTTCGATACTATGAACTCTTTTGTACTGAAGACTTTTTTTCCTACAGCGCAATCAAGGCTATAAAACTTCTTTTAATAGAAAAGAACAGCTTTGTTTAAAAAAACTTTAAAAACAGCAAACAAAACCAAATGAAAACAAAAAAAGAACGTAGCCCAGCTGATCATGTAAGCACTCAGAGAATGAAGGATGCAGTAAAACTCCTTTATTTTGGTACTCTTTTCCTTCATTTAGATTTCTTAATCTGCAGGAGGATTCATGTTAAACATGTTAGTTGTGTTGTTAAGATAGTGTAACCAGCTTGAATTTTCTTATGTGATTTTTTAACAAATAGAATGCTGTTTTACTATGGATTGTCTTGTTTACAATTTGTAGGAACAAAAAACAAATCTTTTAGGGCTTTAGTCTACATTTGTATGGAAAACAATTGTAATTTTGTCAATGTGGAAAGTTTTTCTGTCCTTTCTGCATTAATGTCTGAAAAAGCTTTGAATAAAATATCTCTGTTTACGATGTTATCAAGTAAAGGTTTTGGAATTTGTTTCTTCCTAGAACTGAGCTAAAAGTTGAATGAGTGTTGAATACTTGGAACGGATAGTCTTTGAAGCTGGCGAAAGGTCCATGTAAATGGAACAGTGGCAATTGACTAGTAAAAATTTTCTTCTAAATAATGGGTAACATAGCTTGATGTTTGGAAAATTAGTTCTTTAGAGCTTTATTCAAACTCTGTTGCATAACTGTTTCTGCATTGTCTTTGCACATATGGTAGTTCTTACTGGACTGGCTTTTACTACATCATACAAATACCAGGTTGAGCAGTTTAAGCATGGCACAATAACATAAATAGGAACTTAGAAATACTGTAAATAGTTAACTTCATCTTAGTCTGGAAGTATTTTTAAATGCATGGCCAGAATTTTGGAAGTTGATGTGGTGTTTTCCACTACAGCAATGAAAGGTCCACCCAACCTAGCTTTTTTCCTAGCATTAGTCTCATGACAAATTTTAAGACTTCTAAACATGTCTATCATCTTGGATAAGTTCCTTTTTCTGGTGAGCTACATGTTGGTGTTTCAACCTTGTGCCAGCAGGGGGGGGGGGGGGGGGGGGGGGGGCGCCAGGGGTGGGAGCGGGGATGCCCAAGGGTTATGCAGATGGATGAGGATTAGGGGGACTGTTTCTTTTGACAGTAATGCTGGCTTAAACAACTGTGTTAAACCACAATGTAATACTTGATTTAATTTCCTGTTTATATTTGAATGTTTACATAATATAAATATTTTTGTGTCTTTTAAGTATCACTCTGTATCCTGTAATGTTCTGAATATTCCTCAATTTGATCTGTAGGAATAATGGCTTTCTATTCATTGTAGCTGTAGATATCTGTAGGCATATACCACATAAATGAACATGTATGTTGTAGGAAACTGTTCATTCCATTCCTTGTTTGTTGTTTTCAAAACTAATAGCACAGGCTAGCAATGTATTCCAGTAAAGACTTGATTGGGCCAGTTAGATAGGACTGTTAATCTCTCCAATCAGTAGTAAAGAAAAACACTTTGCATGTAGGCATTGGGTGCCTCATTCTTAATTCATAGTAGGAACCTGCCAGTATAATCAAGCATTCTTGGTTATAGCTTTTGGAGAGCCTGTTTTTTGTCACCAGGATCATGGACAGTGTAGCTAGGAGCTGCTACTTGAAACTAATTTTCTCTATAAAGACAGCTTCTACATGTGTCTTGTGAATATTCTGGTAAATCAGCACTCTTGTGATGGATGACAATGGGGGAAATGCTGATTTTAGAAAAATTATTTTGCTGTTACAAGTATTTCTGTAAACTAGCATAAAGTGTTGGGAAACACCGATGACCCTTCTGGGGAGCGTGTGTGTGCGTGAGTGTTCACTCTAGTTAGAGTGAAACATCCTACCACCAGGTGGAGATCTTACTATGAAAATATAAAAAAAAAAACCTGAAACTTCTAACACTTCCCTGCAAGCTCTATAATAACTTTTGAAAGTTTCTGCTTTATTGCACTGAACAACTTCTGTTCTACCTCTTCCCTGTCTTCCCACACTGAAGTCCAGAAGTGCATTTTGACTACTGCAAGGTTGGGTGGACCTTTCATTGCTGTAGTGGAAAACACCAGCCTCAAGCTTGTGGAGGGGTATGCATTGTATGCAGCAAATGCAGATTTTTATGGCAATGCTAATTTTTTTCTCTTCTGTCACACAATGTCTGTGAGAGATCTTGTTCCTGTTAGTTTGGAACCGCATTCAAAATATACCGCCTCGGCTGTTGTGGTTACTGTCATAGCCTACACCAGTCTGGGTGAGAGAAGTCACGCTGGATTTGGTAAAGGTTTCTGACCACTGAAAAAAGAGCTCATTGGCTATATGCAATGTTATGTGAAATGTGTTCATGTTTGCTGGAGGCTGTTAGTCAGGTAATGAGCCAGAGAAGCAGCAAACAATATCCTAGTTAGCTCTGTAGGTGTGTTCACTTGTGATTAAAATTTTGAGGGATCTTTTTATTACTACTGTTACAGTAATATGTAAAGATTATTTTTGGGTACATTTCAGTCCTTTCTAGAGCTGGCAACAGATATGGATTATACTGATCTGTTACATAGCTGGCAAGAGATACAAATTGTATCATCCTAACAGGTGAAAACTGTTCAGTAACTTACTGCTTGCAACTAGAAAAATACTTCACCAGAAATGTATCTGCTCAAATACATTCATTCCTGTGAAAACCAGAATAAATCTGTTTGGGAAACAAGTGGTTTGGCTTGTATAGGACTAGTATTGTATGATGAATGCTCTTGAAGCAAGGTATGCATTCCTGTCAGCTGGTCCTGTTTCTACAGAAGTTTGATTGGGGGGGGGGGGGGGGGGGGGGGGGGTGCTTCACAGCAAAAGCAGCAAACCTGTAAACTGCATTCTTTGTTTTGTTTATAGCGGACAAGTTCATTAATAAACCCCAGTGGAATCAATTGTAGCCCTGTGCTACAAATTATTTTACATAGTGTAGTCAATTTTAGCTCTGTGCTACAAATTCTTATGCCTCTTTATCCCTGCTGCATATATGTACATTGTATTTGCCCTAGAGACAGCAAAATACAGAAAATGAATATGTAAATATCTTTTCTGTTCAATAGATGTTAATTATTCAGTTGACTGCTTCTGTAAAAGAAGCAATTTTAAATGCTGGTCTTAAATTTCAATGGAGAAATTTAACTGTCTTACCAGTGTATCATTTTGATATTAATTTGAAGGTTTCTGGAGTGAAAAGGGTGTGTGTTTTATGGGGAAACTCCAAATCTGTGAAACAGTGGCTTTTATATTCATACTGCATGGTAAGCAGTATAGGTACTTCTAGTAGGGGAAAAAATAATACTGCTGCTTTTGCAGAAATGGCTACATGGTAGTTGACTATGAAGTATTTTTCTATAGGCAAAGAAAGTAAGTAGTTGATGGGGAATAAAAGCTTTTAAAACTCTTGTCCCAAACAGGACAACTAGTACTAACTGGTGATTTTTTATAAAGGGAATGGAGGCTATGTATGATAGATGTGAATGCTTATTTAGCCTTTCCTGGTAGATGGTTAACCTCAAAGAAACACTGGGACACTTAATTATTTATCATATTCAACTAGATCCATAATAGGATTATGGCAAAAATTAGCTATTTTATCTGATGTTTTGCTTAGTGTGCATTTATTGCTCAGAGTCCTTTGCTGCTCTCCTCTGGCTTCCTTTTATGGGGTCCCATAAATACAGCACTTGTTCTCTGTGTGATTAACCCTGAAGAAAGAAAAGTTAAATTTGGTGGCATTTTGGCTTAAGCTGATTGTTTGATAGGATTTTCCTGCAGTTACCAATTAACTCTTGGATGTGAATTTTCATAGCTGGTTTGCCTGTTCCCATTTTATGAACAGAGAAGATTATTGGCAAGCAAGCCTGACCTTCTCCATAACTAAGTGATGGAATGAAACTAGTGTTGGTTTTCTCTGCAACTCTGACAGTGTGTTTTGTTGTTGTTTGTAATGGGATGTTGTAGATAGAATGTCAACATTGATTCTGTATTTTAACAAGTTTTATTGGGAAAGTATTTTGTACACTTACAATAGAGTTCAAGAAAAATCACAATCAGTTCTATAACCTTGCAACATCAAAGGGAGGAAAAAATGTTCTGTAGCATTGCCACAATGAGGTGTAAGAGGCTGTCAGTAAAAAATTAAGAACTGAAAGCAATCACAAGTACTAACAAACTTGGCAGCTGTTGAGAGATTTTTGAAAAAGCTTTCTTATGTGGAAATGTGTGTGGAAATTAAATTTGGAATGTGGAATAATAGCCATGAATTAGTACACAGTGTGGTGTCATCATCAGTTATGTTACATACTATATACTCATACTGTAGGCTTGCTTGTTTTATGGGCCTGCTAGGTATTTATAAAGCTGCGGGCCTCTGTTGTACATTTTGCATTGTCTAATAGTTTTTAAAGATACTTTTGAATACCCCAAACCAGTATTTGGCAGTAAATAGGCAATACTCAATTCTGCTTGCAAGGAAAATGCTTGTTTAATTAACC